GGGCGGGGCAGGGCCCGGCTGGGACCAAGGTCAGCTGGCCTTTCTGATTAACATTGGGTTGGGCACCAGCTGGCTGACTGGGCTTCCTCGCTCTCTCTGAGCCTCAGTTTCTCCACCTGCCCCTGCTCTGTGCCAGGCGCTGTTCTCAGCACTTAAAGCATATTAGCTCAGGTCATTGTCCCCACCCTGTGGGGGAGAAAACTGAGGCATAGGGAGGAGAAGGGACCCCTGGGTCTTAAGCTGTTAGTTCACCTTCCAGCAGGCTGACTACGGATGTGTGCCCACCTCAAAGGGCAGTGTCAGTTAAATGAGCTAAATTGTGCAGAGTGCTTAGTTCACGGAGGGCTGTGGATAGTGGTGGCATGGACTCCCCAAGTTGTTATCCCACCCAATCCCGGCTCACACAGGTGCTTAATAAGTGCTCTGGGAGTTGCAGCACACTCAGCAATGAACTTGGAGCCAGGGAGAGCCTGCTTGGCTCTTGTGAGCTCATGGGAAGGGCTTCTCCTTTCTGTGCCTCGGCTTCCCCCTCTGTGAGATGGGGTATGTATGATGCCCACAGGGCTATGTGGGGAAGCTGTTGTTATCATTACTATCATTTCCTGCTGGAAGCATTATTTTGGGGCTCCGTGAGGTGGTGAATAGAAAGTGCCAGATAGGTGGGAGCTGATCCTCATTGCAGTCACCCCCAGGTGGGCATGCAGGAGATTTTGGAACCAAGGAGCAAAGGGTTCTGGGTGTGCTCTCCTGCCTGTCACCCCAGAACCAGGAGTTCCAGGGAAACCCTCCATGCTGGGTGATGCCGAGCCCTCCAAGAGGCATCAGCCCAGGCCCAGCTGGGAGGGGCTCTCGGGCTTGAGGAGGCAGAGTGGGACACAGCCCCTAGCCCCTTGGGGTGCAGGGTAGCAGGAAGGAGGGATGGGGCCAAGAGGAAATGGTCAAGGAGATGGAAAGGTGGCTAGACCCTGGATGAGCAACAATAACACAATTTTTGTCCACTGCCTGGTCACAGCAGGGTAAAGGTTCCTGCAGGGGGACCCATCCCCCCATCAGCCACTGTAATGGAGTGGGGGGTAGTTGACAGTGGGGAGGGGTACTCTAGGGTGGTGTCCATCAAGGAGGCAGGAGTTGTGTCGGGAAGGAGGAAGTTCCCAGGGGTAGGCAGGAAACCCCTGTCTGACCTTTGGTCCCCATGCTGCCCGTTGATTCCTGTGATTCCCAGACCCTTCCCAGCTGGTTAGTGAAGGGAGGAAGGTTGGGGGCTGCAAATGGTGCCCAACCAGTTATTCCTCTAGGTTGGCCAGGCCCACACACAGTCCAGGGCCCCCCGCCCCCAGTGGGTGGGAGAAGGACACCTTCCATCTTCCTTCATGGAGGCCATATAGGCGGAGTGAATACAGGGTTACAGTTTAGAGCTCGAGAGTTCCTTCTGGCTGTGCTGCTTACCAGCGCGTGGCCTCAGGCCAGTGACCTCCTTCTTGAGCCTCAGTTTTCTCCCATCTAACAAGGAGGCAACGGCCGGGCTGGGCGTGGCTCAGCGGTTGAGCACCAACCTGGGATCCAGGAGATCGCAGTTGGATTCCCAGTCAGGGCACATGCCCCAGTTGTGGGCTTGATCCCAAGTGGGGGGCGTGCAGGAGGCAGCCGATCAATGACTCTCTTATCATTGATGTTTCTCTCTCCCTCCCTGAAATCAATAAAGATACATTTAAAAAATAAAATAAAATAAATAAAATGGAGGCAACATAGCCAGTTGTAAAACACTTGTCACAGTCCTGGCAGACATTCAGCCTTAATAAACGGAGGGGATGGATCATGTGCAGCCTCTGATACCAGACTGAGGAACTGAGTCACAAGGGAGAGCACTGCCTCCAGATGCTGGTGTCCCAGGCCTGTGGGAACACAGGCGAAGGGACATGACAGGGGTAGAGCCTGAGTGAGTCACAAGTGTCCAGTGGAGGAGGTTGGGCATGGAGGCAGTACCTGGGCCAATACCAAGAAGTGGGGTAGTCTTTGTGTGTAGTAAAGATCTTGGCTATTCATGACACATTGAAGGTGTTGCATATATGTATATATGAACATGATGTCTGTTGTAAAGGAAAAAGAAAGGCAACCAAAAACTCCCAAAAAAGTAAAAAGCCACCTAGACGTGATGGTGCTGATGTGCTACAATTTTGAGCAATTGTTACAATGTCAGAACAAGAGTTTTAAATATATATGCTAATGTCTTTGTATCAAGATAAAAAATAATTTGTTTCTTTTTGGAAATTTGATCTTACATCTTTGATTTGTAATGTTTTAAAAAGGTACTCAAATATGCCTCAAATTTTAATAAAATACCCTATATACACATTTATTTGCTACTAAAAATTAAAATAACACATCAAAAATAATTTGTTACAATTCAAATTTTTAAAAACCGGAGAATCTAGTTAATGCACCCTATGTTAATTATACTCTAGCCAAACTACTCAATGTTTTCTTTTTTACATTCCTTCTACACAAGTTACTTGCTTCTAACACTTGATGTTGGGTTTCATCTTACTGGCTTCAGGCTTCTACAACACACTGGCAATACTTAAGGCTTATTAGTGCTTCTTTGGGTCGAATAAAAAAAAAATGGAATTGAAGTCATTCAAATACAGACTACATGGATTCCTTATAACTTACTGGTACCAAGGTAGACAAGAAAGAGATGCAAGAGAAAAAGACAACACAGAACTTACATTGTAGGTTATCAAAAATTGGTACACAGTCTATCCTAGCAGAGAGTTGCTTTTCCAAGCTGCTACATTATATCCTGTTACTCGCAAGAAAAAACACAACAGTACAAGAATAAGACTTATGCCTAAGTTGACTCCATGTCATAAACATTCTCCATGCTAACATGATCGGAAGGATCTCCGTGATACAGACAATAATGATTTAGATTCAGCTGCATCTAAATCTTATAGTACATTTTTTAAAAGATACATCTTTATTGATTCCAGAGAGAGGAGAGGAGAGGGAGAGAGAGAGAGAAACATCAATGATGAGAGAGTCATTGATCGGCTGCCTCCTGCACGTCCCTGACTGGGGACCGAGCCCGAAACCCGGGCCTGTGGCCTGACCGGGAATCGAACCGCGATCGCCTGGATCCTAGGTCCGTGCTCGACCGCCGAGCCACACCCAGCCTAAATCTTCTGAATCTTGATTCAATGACAGTGTTCTTCCCCTGTGTGTCTTTTCAAGCAGGGACAGGGCACGCCATCTAATAACCTGTAACATTGTCTGCGTCCTTTCTTTCCAAACAGATGCCAACATCCTTACTCCAGGCTTCTTCCTGTTGAGTTTGCCTTGACCCTGACCCGGGCCAAGCCCCTGTAAGTTCTTTTCTCTGTCCTGCTGTTGGGGTGAATATTCTGGTAGAGGGAAGAGAATTTGGTCCTCGGCTTGAGAGTTAAGTCACTAAGGTTTTTTGCTAGTACTCCTGAGGCAGGTTGCGAGGCAGCTGCGGCTTCTTCCCAGGGCATCTGAGAAGACTCTGGGGTCGGGTTTGGGTTGAGCTTCTTTGGTGAGTCCACTGGAAGCCTAGAAGCTCCTCCTAGATCCCCCAAATGGTTCAAGCGGAACATGATGCTCAAAACTCTCAAATTGCTACAGAGTAGCTTAGAAAGAACCATATAGCCCAGAAATAGCGAGAAAAACCCAAATTCCAACAAAACGTGGTGAAATAAAGAGCTAACCTCAGCTAGATTTTTTTTTAAATGAAAAAACTAATGATGTAACTTCCTCTATTTGCTCAATATTCTGTCTTTGGGATCTGTTAATTCCTTTTGCCTCCTGTTTACGTTTTCACTACATTCAATACCATAATAGTGACCAATGGGCATTTAGACGGTTTCTAATTCTTTTTTCCTAAAATTTTTGTCCCAATAAAC